GGGAAAGAGAATGACATGGTTGCCAGGAGGAGATTTTTACTGGATTCTACTAAGAGAATAATCTTTCTCTTTAATTTATCTGTATTAAACTTTAAGTAGCCGTTTAGAAATGTCCACAAGGTGCTGTAAGTGAACAGTTGTGTTTGGATAGCTTTGGATCATTTTTCTGCTGGTGATTGTTGGTGTAGTTGATGCATTTATATTTTTTGGTTACTACTGTTTTGCTCCAAGTACAAGTCTGTTTAAAGGTATAATGATACTGAATTATGATATCTTACTGGCAAGAACAGTAACTTAACTTATTTTCTTTGATTTGTACCTGCATATTCCGCAGGTAATTGGTATATCCTTTCCCACCCATAGAATTACTGTGATCTCATTCAATGCTATCCTGCCAAAACTGACAAAGAATATCAATATTTTTGTGATAAATTTTTGAAACATGACTAAATTGGAAACCTGCCAGTTGCTATAACTTCGACAATTATTTTTGTCCAGGTAGCAATTGAATATTTCAGCTATCCATATAATCCATAATGAAAGTCTTAGTAAGGCTAAGAACTGCAGGCTGTTTGTTACTCTCTGTTATAGGAAGGTAACAGTGCTGTTCCTTTTTGTAGTTTATAGAGGAGAACAGACATCTCCCTACTCACAAAAAGTCTTTGGCTCTGGTCATCTCGTATTTATATTCATTTGGGTATATACATGTATTCTGATAATTAGATTTTGAATTGGTGAACAGTGAGCAGAGCTTCTAAGCTACAGTACTAAGCTTCCAGAAAAAGCACTACGCCGTGGGGTGTGTTTGTATGGAACAGGTTGTAAGCAAGGGTAAGGACACGTGTGCTCCTTTTGGCTGGGTAGGGCAACTTTACCTTGCTTGAGTAGGGAGTTCTTTGGATTCTGCTGCTTGATTTACGATGATCCTAAAGCTCAGCAGTACAAACCTAGTTTCAGTATTTGTGTATTATGTTGTGTTGAGGTATAAGGGCATGTCTACGTGGAACTGGTGCCTTCTCAAGAGTAGCCTTAAAAGCAAGCATTCCCCACTTACCAGAACCGTAATGGAATACAGATTTGTAGCTCAAGTGAAGATAGTCTGACAGCTTTCCAAGTATTGTGGCACAAGGTGGAAATGTAACAATTGTAGGTGAGAACAGCAAATAATTTCTTTAATGTATACAACTGACTGCATTGGTTAGCTAAATCTGGAAACTATAAATTTGCAAAGGAGACTATTATTTTTTGAGTTGTGATACTAGCTGCTAGAAGTGAGTCTGAGAAGGTGCTCTTATTTGAATATCCCACTTGAAGAAATAGTTGTACATAATTTTGTGTTGCAAATCTTTTTACAGTTATTTTTATGTAGGCATTAATACATGAATATTTTGGATGATGCAAGTAAGTAGTTTCATTAAAGCTCTAAATTCTACTGCAGAAACTGTTGGGGTATTTAATCTCTGATAGTTTGTCACGTAGCAGATTCGCAAGATCAGAAAGTAAATTTTTATCAGTTCTTAATTCTTTCTGTGGAAGGTTCTGTGTGTTTCTTCCAGACAGTGAGAGATCTGCATGTTTGTTTCACTCTGATTGTGTATCATAGCTGATGGGACTCATCAGAATGGAATGAATAACTGTATCTGCTTTTTTTGCTGAACCCAGTGTCTTTCCCCTAAAATGTTAGTTTCAGAGGGAGGTGTGAGTTGTATTGGATGGAAAAGTAATAAAATATGGCTTAAATTTGAGAGTTTTTTTAAAAGTTACTGGTTTTCTTGTGGAAAGGAACTGTATTTCATCTGTAATAAAGGCTGTTTTGCATCTTAAGCTTTGAGCACTATTACATCTGAAGAGTAAGTGATTGTGTTCTGGAGCTGAAATTGTGTGTTTAGGAATAGTGTTCTCAGTTCTAATTTTTCCTCGTTTTTGTTAACACTAGACTTGAACTGGGGAATTTTACATGGATTAGTACACAAGGTTGCTTTTTATGGGCCAACTAAACATTTATGAACTACGTTCAGATAATAAACTTTGTTATTCCAAAGTTAGCAAAATGAATGCTTGTCGTAGTAATTAATATGTGGGACAACAAAACGTAAGGTAAAAGTGATTTTTCTAAGCTTAGGTATATGAGAAACAAAAGACAACTGAGAAAGGCTTGTCCGTTTTTGTAGTTCTTGTTAAGACACAACTGTTTGGTTGTTGTCTTTTTTTACTTAACCAAGCTAACTCTGTCTGTTTACTTTTAAATCTAGCCCCGAGCTGATCCCATCCCGATATGTAGCTTTTGTTTGGGAACGAAAGAATCAAATCGTGAAAAAAAGCCAGAAGAGCTGTTGTCTTGTGCAGACTGTGGCAGCAGTGGTAAGTTGGCTGAATTTACAAATACTAAAAGTGTTTATGTTTAAGTCCTGTTTTTAATGTTTTAAATATTTTAAACTTCTGAATGTCACCCACCCCATAGCTTTTAAACTGTCTTCCTTTGATGGTTAACAGGTTTCCTGTATCTTCAAATCTGTATTTTAATATTTGGAAATTTAATAGGATTTGTGCTTGGTTCGACTGTAGTACTCACAGATTACATTAATCAGATGAGCATAGATATCAGCTAGTCTTGTGTTGTGCAGTAATCCCCTGGTTGGTCTAAGAAGCTTTAGATCTGGAAGTCTTGACTTTCATGGATCAGCTTCCATTTGAATTAACACTGATACATTCTCTTTGCCTCATTAAGAGTAAATTATCTTTAATTAGTTCCTCAGATGTATTAGATATAAAGAATGAAATGTTGAGACTGCCAATCAGGTTGCCGGATGGTTAAACTTTAACTACTGATGCCTAACTGAAATAAAACCCAATCTCAGTGCAATTTATAAATAACAAAACTTCGCTCAAGTGAAGGTTTATTGTAATTGGATTTGAAAATTTGCACATTGCAGTGTATCTCAAAGCTGATCTTGCTGTGGTAACAAACATAAAAGAAATTGCGTGTTATGCACAGCAAGCAAATGGGTCTGTTGATCAGAGACTAAATCGCAGTGCCCACTACTGGCGTGTCTGCTTTCCTTTGTTTTTGTGTCTCTTCAGGTAGTCCTTCTGCATTCTGAAAGCAGAAACTTTCTGGATATCTGCACATTTCATTGATATTACTCTTATTTTATGATATTTGGGAGGGTAATGTATTTAGGCAGTGAAAATGAAATGCACTGCTGTGTCAGTTTGCACAGGACGTTTTCTGAAGGATTAAGATGAGGCATGTCAGATGTGAGAAAACAGATCTTATTATGAAAGCAAACATTATTCCTTCTCCCCCCCCTTCCTCTCCTGCTTTTCCCCTGTCTTTTGATTTTGAAAAATTGATAGACTTGAGAACTGGAATTGAACTCTGCTTCCGTTTTCCCCATTGAGAAGTGCAGAAGCAATTAAAGAGCTGCTGCTGACAGATTTTAAAAGAGAGTTGAAGTTTTGGAAAGAGGAGGAAAAAAAAGTTGAGTTACTGGGGAGCTATAATAAATATTTTTTTTAAAGGGAGAAAATAGCTGTTCAAACAAACGATGCTACATGGAGAAAGCAAGAGTTACCGATCAAAGATGGGTAGGGGAGGCTGGAGAGTAGAACAAGAAAAGCATCAGAATCAGGTCAAGAGGAACAGGGACAAAAACGTTTAGAGAGGACTGTGCAGAGATTGCTTTATAAAGGAGATTTAGGGTAAGCTTTAAGAATAAGGGAGTATAGGAATTGTCTTTATTGCTGTTTGTGAGAGGATTTAGAGTGAACTGCCTTGAATGCTTGCAGGTGTATCACCACCCTCACAGTAAAGAATTTCTTCCTTATATCTAACCTGAATCTCCCTCTTTCAGTCTGAAACTGTTACCTCTCACATCCTGCCACTACATTCCCTGATAGAGTCCCTCCCCATCTTTCCTGTAGGCCCCCTTTAAGTACTGGAAGGCTGCTGTAAGAGCAGAGCCTTCTCTTCTCCAAGCTTCCCTCATGTAGGGGGAAGGTGCTCCACCTCCCTGATCATCTTTGTGGCCCTCCTCTGGACTCACTTAAACAGGTCTATGTCTCTCTTACATTGAAGACTCCAGAACTGGATGCAGTATTCCAGGTGGGGTCTCACAAAAGTGGAGTAGAGGGGGAGAATCCTCTCCCTTGACCCGCTGGTAATGCTTCTTTTGATGCAGCCCAGGATACAGTTGGTCTTCTGGGCTGCAAGTGCACATTGCCAGCTTGTGTTGAGCGTGTCATGAGCCAACACCCCCAAGTCCTCCTCAGGACCTCTTTCAAGCCAATCTCTACCCAGCCTGTATTTGTGCTTGGAATTGTCCTGACCAAGGTGCGGGACCTTGCACTTGGACTTGTTGAACTTCATGAGGTTTGCACAGGCCCACCTTTCAACTCTGTCAAGGTCTCTCTGGATGGCATCCCTTCCCTCCAGCATGTCAACTGCACCACACAGCTTGGTGTCACCTGCAAACTTGCTAAGGATGCACTCGATCTCTCTGTCCATTTTGCAAGCAAAGAAGCTAAACAGTCCCGGTCCCAATACTGACCCCTGAGGAACACCACTTGTCGCTGGTCTCCACTTCAACATCAAGCTGTTGAAGAGATATGTAGAAGATAGGGTTTAGATGAGTTAACTCAGTTTAGATGAGTTAGAGCTGAAATACTGTGAATTTTGAAGCCATAAACGTGCTTTACCTCTCCAGCTCTTTTCAAATTCAGAGAAACTAGCTGTAAAATCACTGAAGGTCACAGTGACTCCATTTAACTGACTGCACTATGAAAGTAGTTAAACAGACTCCCTTTCAAAAGTGAAACCAGTGCTGATTACTACTTCGTGTCTGGTAGGAATTACCCTCTCTCTGCTTGTTATTTTATTTGTATTATAGCAATGTGTCCAAGATAAAGAGTGTAAGTGTTTTCAGCTATTAAAGAAAAATACCACATAGTATTTTTGAAATATGAAAATTTGTGTGTTGTCTCTGCTAGTAAAGACAGTGGAATAACACATCAGATACATAGTGATGATTCCCATTTGTACTCTTCCAATCTCTAGTTATTTGTGGCTCAAGAACTTTGAGGTGCAGGCATAATCTTCATATTTAAAACGGATGGATTTTTTTTCTTAATTTTTGTCTGAAAGTAAATCTAACAGGGCATTAAACAAATCTACACTTAAGAATATGTAACACTGAAGAATATTAACAAATATATTAAGCTGTGTAATTGGTTGAATGAGAAATGCTGTATTGGTAGAAAACAGAAATAAAGTGGCCCTGTTACACCCGATCTGTACATAGTTACCAACCAGTGAGAATGGGTGTTTCGTATGGTTCTACTTCTCAGCTATTTACTTAAAGCAAAGTTAAAATCAGCAGTTTAAACCACAAGTAAATAACTTCTGTACAAGGCAGGTAACTGTATTCATATGGAGGTACTTGGTTTATGAGTACACTTGCATGTGTTAATGTAGTTGTTAAGTCATGATTGATGAAATAAGTCTGTGATACTGATTACTAATATCAGCCACTCTAGGAGTGGGAGCGTTTTTCTTGCTTCTTAGCAGATTTTTTAAGATGAAGCACTAGTTAAGCTTTATTGAAGGAAACAGTGTAGCATTGAACTGAACTATGCAGTTACAGAGTATATTTCTCACCTTGTAGAAGAACAGTCATTTTAAGTGCATACTTGGTTTTAACTACAGAAATTTGTTAATGTGTCTTAAACTGTGTGCTAAGAAAATAAAATGGCAATGCTTTGTTTTTGAAACTACTCTTTGAATTTGTTATTGATTATTCTTTACTAATAGATTATATTCTGGCATTTTGTTTTGAGAATGTTATATTTACACAATTAGTCTTTTAAAGTTTAGCAAAAAGCAGATTAAGCTGTGGGTAAATAGAGTAGAAGGAAATAAAGTCGGAAATTTGCACTTATTAAAGTGACTTTTGCATTCCATCAGTCATCTTTGCCATTTATACCTCAGTTGGTTAGAAGATGAAAATAGCAAATGCTTATGGATTAGCCTGTGTTCTTGTTTGTGGTGGTTTAGCTCAGTCTGGGACTGAGGAACAGCAGACGGAGAAAGTCTGAATCACGTATCCAGACTGTGACAGTGAGAAGAAAGCACCCTTCATGCACATGGCATCACTGCAGCCATCTATAAGTGCAGCATGGCATCAGGGATTCTCATCTCTCCGACAACTTGTGGGTTGATGTTCTTGATAATCTCTGAATATAATACCGGCAAAAAGGGTTTCCCTGGGAATGCTTATCCCTTTCTATTTAGCAGTGCTTTTATCTTTTCTGGATTAAGGTTGGGTACACTGTTGAGCTTGTTGAAGACATGAAAAATCACTGCTAGTATTGTCTAAGGAGTTGTATGTGTTCAGTTGTCTGATATCTTGTATTAATTGGAAAAGCCATGTAGGCTGTCCAGGCCACCATGAAAAGAGGAATGTCCTGCCAGGGAATAAAATACAGTTCCATAGGAGGTGATAGTTCAGCTGCTGTTCCCCACTCCCCTCCCTGCCCCTTCCGCACCCCCTGTTTTTAAATCTTCCTTTGCAGTAAGCTTTTCTTGTGCCAGTTGCTTGCTTAATTGTTTTTCCTTCCTACTGCTCCAACATTGTTCTTTGTATAAAATTAAGTAATAAGTTGGGATGAAAAATGTATATGGTTTGACTGCTACGTTTCTCTGGTAGATGCTTAGTATATCTAGAAAACTATCTAATCTGAAGATTTCCTCTGTTTATGTTGCACTGCTATGAAAGGAGAGTGAGGTCAAGTTTGTAAAAATACTTCTTTCAGAACCAATGGCAGTTTAATACGCAATGGAAATAACCTAGTACAAATAAATTCAGTTTCAGGTGCTTGTGTAGACCATTCACAGGTGTCAGTTAGAGTAGAAGTGAGCTTTCTAACTCTCTTCATAAATGAGTTTTATGGAAGTTACTCTGTATCTTTGTTTGTGTTGTAAAGTTCTGAGAACAGCTGGTGCTTGCAGAGTTCTGCTGGTGCTGTCTGCATCCTGTTGAACTTAAGAATCAAACTTGCCAGTCTTAAATCTCAAGCTTTAATTATTTTGTTGGGTTTTTTTAGGACATCCATCATGTTTGAAATTCTGTCCTGAGTTAACAACAAATGTGAAGGCCTTAAGATGGCAGTGCATTGAATGCAAGACGTGCAGCGCGTGTAGGATCCAAGGCAAAAATGCAGTAAGTTCGAATGAGTGTTACCTGACTCTTCTTCGTTTACGTAGCTCTACTTAGCACATTTGTAAACACAAATCACTGGTGTACAACTTCAAGCGGTGCTGTATTAAGTCTTTTTTCTTTTTCCTCTTCCCTGCCCCCACCCCCCCTTCAGGATAACATGCTTTTTTGCGATTCCTGTGACAGAGGATTCCACATGGAGTGCTGTGACCCACCACTTTCCCGAATGCCAAAAGGTGATAAAATACTTTCATTCACAGTCTTTTCTTATATTAAGTGACCAAATGCTCTTGAGCATGCTAATTATTTTTGCATTGTAAATGTTATGGTTTTGATCATGTAAAAGCCAATACTTTATTTTTCTTTACTTGAGATTTTTTTCCCCTCAGGAAAATAGTAAAGGTCTGTGATCAGTTGACCAGATGAATTCTCTGTGTATTGAGTTGCTGGCCAATTTATTGAAGGTGAAGTTTTATGAAGGCTTTTAAAATGTTTGGAATATATGCACTGACAAAGAAATCCTTAGAACAGGTGAAAGGGCCCACTTCTTCATGCTTTTTGTATGAGTAATTTAAAATCACAGAATCACAGAATATTAGGAGTTGGAAAGGACCTCGAAAGCTCATCCAGTCAAACCCCCCTGCCAGAGCAGGATCACCCAGACCAGGTCACACAGGAACACGTCCAGGTGGGTTTTGAATGTCTCCAGAGAAGGAGACTCCACAACCTCTCTGGGCAGCCTGGGCCAGTGCTCTGTCACCCTCACAGTGAAAAAGTTTTTCTTCATGTTCAGATTGAATCTCCTCCTTTTTGAAGTAAATAAAAAAGGCAGACAAACAAACAAACAGTTTGTGTCTTCATGTTCTCCAATATCTATATTTCTTTTATATAGCATCTCTCATTTCTGCTCTCACATATTTGTGGCTTTTCCTGTTTAATCGTAAAGTGACAATAAAGACTTCCCCAACTTTTATTTTTCCCCAAATCCCCAGCCGTATCTGTAATAAATAAAGCATTCAGACATGGTCTGTTAAAAGGATGGCAAATTCAAGTTGTATGTTAAAACAAACATACCTAGATGTGATATGGTGGTTTTTCTAGCACACTCTAGCCTAGATTGCTCTGGAATGCACTTGTAATTTTTTTTTCCTCGTCTTAATTGTGTCTGAAAAAATATCTAGGTACTATAAGGAGAGACAAGCTAGAACAGGAATTCCTCTAGTTTTTTTAATAATCTTTTTTATAGTCCGTATTGCTTCTTTTTTTCCCCTTTTCACAAGTACTTTGCTCTCAAAATTTCCAAGTATGGGTAGAAGTGGATTGCTTTTCTCTGTCTAATTCTCCTTCCCTGTGTCCTGTTCATAAGATAATTTATTGACCATATTTACTTGGCATGTATCTTGGTAGACATCTGTAGTACAGATTAAATCAACTGTGTACAATTAAACTTTCTTTCCTTTGTGTAGGGATGTGGATTTGCCAGGTCTGTAGACCAAAGAAGAAAGGGAGAAAGCTACTTCATGAGAAAGCTGCCCAAATAAGGCGACGATATGCAAAACCCATTGGACGGCCGAAAAATAAACTAAAGCAACGAATGTTGTAGGTTTCTCTTGAACTTTTTTTTAATGTTTCTCAGAATGTAGTCAGATAGGAGTTGATGCAGGTTCAACTACAGGTTTTAACTGTATTGTAAGTTGATGAAAGTAGGTGACAAGTATTCTAGTATATGCCTTTCAGCCCAATGGGCAATAACTTCTTAGTTGCAATGAGCAGTTTTTGTGTCATGTCAGAAAGTGATGAAAAAAACTTTCTGTAACTTTTTTCTAGATCCCATAATTGTGTAACAAAACTTCAACCTATAGTAGATGCGAATAAAAGTCTGTATGATAACATATGCCAGAGCTATCTTAAGCATGACTTCAAATAATTTAATATGTTCAGAATCTACACTAAGTGGATAATAGTGAGTTTTTCACATCCAATTTCAGGAGCCTGTTCTGCTCAAAGACCTGTTCAAAAGTTGTATAAAAATGACTTTAGTTAATATCAGCTCACAAAATCCATTATAAAAAGCAAACTATGCAAGTATTATTCTCATTTCAGTGGTAATCTGGAAACATTATTAGTTGAATTCTGCTGTTAAGGTGCCACTCGTTACTAGGGAAGGAGGTTGCAATTCCTCTTGCTTTTCAGGAATGTGTTTATCTGAGACAAGAGAGTGCTGCAATTCTTTGGGCATCTGTCTTTCCAGGGTACACTGTAGTCAGACATCTTAATACTTGGTTGGAGGGTTGTTTAAGTAGCATTCAACTGTTGAGCTGACCTTACACTGGGTGTTAAACAGGAACAGATTCTGTGTGAACTCCGGTAGCATGTTGCCCTCAATCAGATGTTTCTATCCACATATGCCTTTCTTCTCCTATTGAACTATCAGTTTGGCCATGTCAGCTCAGCAGCTGAAAGCTTTCCAGTTCTATCTACTACTCATTCTGTCATGTGGCTGTTACCCAGCCATTTTTCTCTATAGTCTAAACACCTGTCTGATATTCTTCAGAGTTGTATGGTAGCTGCTGTAAAAGTTTGCATTTTACAGATTTCTGGAGCCAGTTGAGCCAATGTGTCAAAAAGAGAGGGGGGGGGGAGCTAAAAAAGAAGGGGAAATATATATTCACTGTACTGAAGTACAGCACGCTAGTCACGATATATTTGATGCTGTGTAGCTTGCTATATTATATTTTTCCTGCTGCCAGAATCTCTAGTCTTACCTTTTTGGTACTTCTCCATTCTTCTCCTGACTAAATAACTTAGAAATTTGAAGGTTATTGAAATAGCCATATAACTTAATCATTGTTTTAACTGAGATTCCTATATATCTTTGTGTGTGTGCATAATAAAAATACTCACTATATCTAGCTACACTTTTGGCTTTAGCTACAACTCTGGTCTTACTCCTTTGAAAACTTTTAAGCCTTAAACTGGAGGTTAGGGTTTTAATATAGTACTGCCATCATAGTTTTCTAAAAACATGTCCCTGATTTGGGTTCCCACAGTGGACTTGGCAGGAATGTTTGTGTGACAGAGTAATTTTGCTTCTCCTGCTTCCTCATACATGTAAAAGAAAGGTTGTAAAGGTTTTACATTTACATGTTGCTAATTGGGTTCTGAGCTACAACTTTTAAAATAAATGCTAAAGAATGCAGAAGTTCTCTTGGCATTGGATGATGATTATGAGTATTTTTATAAGGACTCTCTTTGTCGCACATGAGCCACATGACTACGTTAGAGTAGTACTTAGGGTTCTTTGTATAATAAATATTGACAATAATGTGAGCACATTTCTATTACTTCAGTATCTATTATATATAAAAAACCAAAGTAATCTTGTTTTGAAAAAATAGTGATAAGGAGAAGGGATAACAGAACAGACTCTTCCTCGTGAAATCCTATTTAAAAGTGATCATGGAGTACAGAAGATGACAGTGTCATAAATAAAAGTGTGTGGTCACATGAAATACAGGAAGATTAGCTAATGGTACTTAGTTCTTTTTGTGCAACATAAAGAAAATCTGTCCAGTAGTACCGGAATAGTTTTTTGCCTGTTGACCATCTGTAGGAAGTACTTCACAGGCAAATTACTGTGTAAGGTTAACTAGAACCAGGTGTGTGCTGGCCTCTGGCACTGATGGCGATTACTACATCTGGTAGAAAGAATAGATCTTGTGACAGACGTAAGCTTATGGCACCAAAGGGTTCAAAAAACTTAGAAGTTTTTGGTTTTGTTGCCTCTTAGGAGTTAACCAAATTTAAGGATATGTGAGTGGAAAAGGGGCTAGTTCTTATACTGTTGGGCCCTTGGAGTTCAGTTAACCAGATGGTAGCCCCAGGCTGTTCCATCTCTAATTAGAAGTAACCTGTTGGAATTAATTACTTCATCTCAATTAAGAAGGCAAAAATCTGTGGAAGAAAAGTTTCCGCTGCAAAGTAAATAAGCTAACTTCAAAGAGCAGGATGGAAAAGGGAATGGAAGCATTTGATTCAACTGTATAGCTTTGTTTGGATTTGCAATTTGATTATGGCCCTGATACCTGTTACTTTTACTGAAAATATTTCTAAGCATTCTGTTTCTATATACTTACAATATGCTACTCTTCAGCGTATCCTTCAGTGTTTTTCCTTTCTTCAGTCGTTAGTAGCCAGCTAAATGTGTACTTCTGCTATCACAAATGTTGGCTTTCAGCATGCCCTTTTTCTTCCTAGCATTTAAGTAACACTCACCACTCCTTCTCTTTAACACCTTCCATGTTAGGCCTGATTGGTTTATGACTTTTTTTACAGACACCACTTGGTCTTACAGTTCTGCTCTTTCCTTTCCTTTGCTATTTTTGTTTTTGGTATTGTTACAATTTCTAAAGAAAACAGAGTCTATTTCTTTGGTTTTGTTGCAGTGCTCTTCATAACCTACCTCGCTTTGCTTTTAGATCTTTGGCAGTAACTTTTACTACCAGTATTTACATAGATAATCCAACAAGAGTGTGGAAAAAAGCAGTTTCTTAAACTGTATTGCTTTAAAGGCCTTAAAAAAGACTTTCTCTCTAGTTTAAACAAATGTAGTTGTGTTTTGATATGCAGTGATTTATTAATACTGAACGTGTGCATCTCCTTTGTATGTACAATAAACTCTATGGTGATTGAGCAGTTATTGAATTCAGACACAGTGCACTGGTGTTTTTTTCCAAAGCACACTGTAGCATGCCTAAAAGTAGATGGGGAAGCTGTGTGCTTTGGAGATCTTGCTATCCCAGCTGCTTCTACTTGTGTGTAGTGTGGACTATCTTTTAAAGAAAAGGGGGTGGGGAACAAAAACAAAGAAAGAAAAAATGAAAGTTGAATGTGAATATATTTTTAAAATCTTCCAAAATTTTTAAGTACAGTGGCATAAGTAATTTGTATAAACTGTAATACTGTTTGGCAGTAGTTAACAGAATTTTAATGCTTGTTTTTATTTTCCAAATTTTTGCATAGGTCTGTAACCAGTGATGAAGGATCCGTGAATGCATTCACAGGAAGGGGGTCACCTGGTAGGGGTCAAAAGACTAAAGTCTGTACCACACCTTCATCTGGTCATGCTGCATCTGTGAAGGATTCAAGCAGCAGATTGCCTGTTACAGACCCCACTCGGCCTGGTGCCACCACCAAAATCACCACCACCTCCACCTACATATCTGCCTCTACACTTAAAGTTAACAAGAAAACCAAAGGGCTCATTGATGGCCTTACTAAGTTCTTTACACCATCACCTGATGGTCGCAGATCACGAGGTGAAATAATAGACTTTTCAAAGCACTATCGTCCAAGGAAAAAGGTCTCTCAGAAACAATCATGCACTTCTCTTGTGTTGGCTACAGGTACCACACAAAAGCTAAAACCTCCACCTTCTTCACTTCTAACCCCAACCCCCATCTCTGGTCAGAGCCCCAGTTTGCAAAAATCCAGCACTTCTGCTTCTTCTAACTCCCCCCAGAGTTCTTCCAGTCAGTCAAGCATACCCTCCTTTAGTAGCCTTCCTAATAACAGTCAGCTGAAGGGACTCTTTGATGGACTCTCTCATATCTATACCACTCAGGGACAGTCTCGAAAAAAGGGGCGCCCAAGCTATGCACCACCCAAGCGTTTGCGTCGTAAACCAGAATTCTCTTCCACATCAAAATCTAATAGCCATTTTTATGCAAAGAAAGAGGTTAGGAGTGGGTTTATTTCTCATGCTTGTGCCTCTGGATGGGGTGTGTCTAGAGGACATGCTTTTAAAGCGATTGCTCACCTCAAGAGAACAACTTTCCTTAAAAAGCACAGGATTCTAGGCAGATTAAAGTATAAAGTGACCCCTCAGATGGGCACCCCCTCACCAGGGAAGGGGAGCTTGGCAGACGGAAGGATTAAACCTGATCAGGATGATGGTAAGCAAAGGTCAAAGCGCCAACCAAACCTGCGTCCCGTCCAAAACCAAAATTCTTATATTGTCACATAGGTCTTAGCTATTTCTCTTGTTCTTACTTCACTTTCATACAAAAGCAACGAAACTTTGACCTTTTATCTAATGCTGACTAAATCTCCAAAATGTTTTTTCTGACTAATATCACACCACCTTTTTATTATTTTTTGCATCCATAGTGACACTAGGAGCCCCAAGTGCCATCATAATGTTGCTTATGGCTGTGTAGTACCGCATGAGTGGCCACTTTTCATGCTGCTTCTTTGTTCTTCCCCTGCCCTTTCCCTGGCAGTAGTGCCGTCATCATGATTGTGTGCTGTCAGTGCTTATAATGGTGGGCATTTCAATTCATTTCCCTCTGCTCCATTGCTTTTTCATGAACAATTCCATCCTGCTACAGTCTCCACAACACTTGATCTATACTGCTGTGAATTACCTCTTTTATAATTACTTTTATTTAAGAAAAAATATAATGTTGAATGTAGACTTAGCTTAGCATTGGTCTCCAACTTTTAAGGGCAACTTTTTTCTCTTATTTTTATTTTTACCTTGTAGAGTATACTGGAATCAAGTGGCATAGTTCTAGTGATAGAATATACTCCGTTTCATGGGGTTCAAAACAAATATAGTAGAACTAGACTATAAAGGCTTATTGAGACAGACAAGCAAGCACCAAAAATAGCTCATGCAACAGGAAACTACTAAACAAGAAGGGGGGAAGGTTTCATTTTTGTTACTTGATAATACCAAATTTAGTTAAAAGGGGAAGTCATAACAGTTACAGTTGCTACAGTCCTGTTTAGGAGTATCACTTTGGTAAGGCATGTGTAATCTTCATGTCTGTGAATAAACTTTTTGCTGGTTTTAAATAACAGATACTGAAATCAAACTAAGCATCAAACAAGAAAATACGGATGTATTTCTGGTGGGAAGCAAGGACACTGTTACGCAGGAGGATTTGGAAGTATTTAAGCAGGCTCGAGAACTTTCCCTGGAGGTAAGAATCAGGTTGCATAAAATGTAGTTATTTCTGTAAATAAAAACTCTGATCATTTTCATACTTCTATTCATCTTAATTTCTAGCATATTCCTTTTGATTGAATGTGTCATGCTTGCTGTGAATTTAGGTTGGGAGACACTCTATATACAGTTGCAGTCTCCTAGATAGGAGACAAGACATCACTCTGGAATGGGTCAGATAAATGACATTGGGATAGATTTTAAAAGATACACCTGAGCATTTTGGACAGAGGACTAATACTCCTTAAACATAGCTGACATCTCGATCAGGACTGAGAGGATGTTGGTGAGTAAGTAGGGGCCTGATGATTTTTCTCTGTGGATAAAGCAGCCACTGTGAAAAGTTAAGTCTGTCCCTCAAATATTGTTTGGTAGGAAACTGGCTTTAGTGAGTTCATAACTTCATTTTATGTAGTGATTTTTCACACTTTGAGTTTAAATAATATAGACTTTTTCTAGCAGTGAAAATATTTGAGCTGAATCTGATTAAAACTGTTTATACCAGCCAGTGTTAATGCATTTCTTTTTAAGGTATGCAGTGGTAATCTAAAGCTTGTGGAGACTGAGCTAGTTTTAGAGGTTTTTTGTTGGTTTTGGTGTGGTTTTGTTTTGGTGTTTTTGTTTGTGGGGCATTTTTTGTTGTTGTCTTTTTGGGGTTTTGTTTTGTTTTGTTTTTGCCAATGAAGCTGGACATGGCAGATGAATATTCCTATAGCAAAACAGACTTTTTTACTTTTCTTTGTGAAATGAGCAGCCAGTGTCTTTCTCTGACCAACCTGGGTCAGAAGGGAGGGACATGTGATGTTTCAACTGCTGCTTTTTATAAGATTGCATCATAAATTAGTGTCTTGTACTGTTTTCAGTAATGGAAGTAACGTAGTTTTTTTTAAGGTTTAGTGTACAAGAACTGACATTAACTTGCTGTGGGTCAATGCAGGTACCTTTTTTTATGTTTGTAGTTCAGAGTGTGTTGACCAGCAAACTCAAACCAAGTTTAAAGATTTAGCTTCATTATTACTTTTTACTTCACTTGCTTGTGGAAGTGGCTTCTACCTTCTCCTTTCTTTGCCTTTCATATGCAGTCCAAATATCTTAGGTGGTAAGATTTCTTAAAATTTCAGGCATAGAAATGAGGGTTTTTTCCCCTCACGTTTCTTCTATTTTTGTATTTTGCCAGCCCTGTAGTATCTAGCAGTCACTGTCTGATCAGCTCAACTTCAGTATGGTAGCTAAGATTAGTGTGTGTTAGTATACTCTTGACTGTTATGAGATGAATCCCAAGGATTCGAGGGTTCTGCTGAAGCCTTCTCCCTCATTGTTTTGACAAAAGGCCAGCTTTGAGTTTGAACCACAACTGTAGAGAAGTTCTCACATTAGTTGCTGCAGGAGAAGAGAACTAAGATAGTTGTGCCTCTTATTTGGCTGGGCCGTTCACCATCTAATTGTACTGACTTGTAAGCACTGCTCACTTAACTTCATGTTTAGTTTTTTGACACCTTGAAATAAATTTTCACTGTTTCTATTTGTCTGTTTGCAAACTCTGTCCTCTGGCCAGGTTGGAAGAACTTAAGCAACCGATTTGAATACCTGAGGTTTCTCTCAGCTTCACTGGGTGAAAGTGATGATAGAAAGCTAACTTTACTTCTACTTTTTCTGTGACTAATAGTTTGCATTTATTGTACCTGACAGAAAATTGGGTGTAAAAACACTGGTGAAACAAGTGGGCGATACCCTGCAGTGATTGAGTTTGGCAAATACGAGATCCAGACCTGGTACTCTTCACCTTACCCACAGGAATATGCAAGGTAGTGAGTTGTCAAGATTGTCATATGTTGTTGGAATTTTTACTAACGTGGTAATTGTAATTAATTCTCTTACTCTTTTGTAATTGTTTACAATGTACATTTTCTACAAGTAAAGATACTTTTGCAATTATAAGTGAGAACAAGGATTTGTTTTCTCTTTTTTGGTTTTTATTAGTTCTAATCAAAGATACATTCAAAAGACTGATTTTCCTAGTCCTGCATAAACGTAATCTTGCAGTGTGTATTGGTGTGGTTTTGTTTGTTTGTTCTTTTTGTTTGCTTGTTTGGTGTTGTTCGGTTTGATTTTTTTGGAGGGGTTCTTTCTGTTTGGGTGTTGGTTGTTGGTTTTTGGGGGTTTGTTTTGTTTTGTTTTCTTTCCAAACCATTGCAACAGGTATGTCCAACTTCTGACCCATTAGAGCAACTAATCTTGTTTCTCATCCAGAATTTGTTAACCCCTTTTTTTTAGGGGCCAGGGAGAAGTCTGAACATGTTTGATAAATAAAGTGAGCAAGCTGTGGCAACAGTGTCTCGTTTCTGGCCACCTTTGCCAGGGCGCACCTCAAAATCAGGCCGAGAGCATGAGCCTAGTGTGTGTGTTCGGCAGATCCCTGCAGATTTTTGTATGTGCTGCAAATAAATGTTTTATGAATCTATTGGATCTGTGGCACACAGCGATTTTCAGAACTGTATGTTTATCAAGCTGTACTACAATAGCAAGCCAGAATTATGTTGTCTGTTCCAAAAGGCCTTTGTATAGCATTATTGTAAAGTGCATTTTCTCTCCATCTCTTTCATTCCTAGATATCACCATCTTTGTGTGGTGGGAATGAGGGATATGTCGGGAATTGGTAATACAAAAATACAGGGCTAATAAAAGTGTAGAGAACATTTCCATTGCCTCTGATTACCACTGCTTTGATAGTGTTAATATTTTTTTCAGTTACTTTTTTAGTCCCTCAGTTGATATCTTGTGAAAGAGTTACCTGTTCCATCAAGTAAATTAATCCCAGATAGAGGCATAATGATGGATAATTATTAGCATGAAGCTATAGTGGGATGGCATTTGTAGGAGGCGGTGTGGCTCTCTGCTCTGAGTGCACTAGGATGACATCATTGCAGTTCAAACTACTTTTTATATTGTTGATAAACTTTCTTGGAACACTGAAGTAGTTTAAATCATGGGTATGATGTCAGGATATGCCGGGGGTTTCAGAGCAGATAAAGATTTGCCTCTGCTCTAAAACTTTGTTTACTAATTAATTTCTGCAACAGTCTTCTACTACTTTACTAATTTAAAAATGAAGGTATATAGCCATAAAATTAACTGGAAATAACAGCTTCTGATATGTGGAACGCTTGTCAGCATTGTCTTCCATAGAGCATGTGAGTTACTTGTACGTAGTCTGAACTGAATCCTTCCTGGAGGAGTACAATAATCTACACTCCTGAGATAGGACTTCATTGTGCTTACTTTGATGGAGACCACAGCAAAAGCTTAGGTGGAATGTGGGAAGAGGGGAAGTAACTGGGATCTACCAGAGGCTGGGCCACAAAGCAGATGACTCACAGTCCAACTCAATTGAATTAGGCTCGTTGTGATTGATTGAAGCTGATCTTCTCTTTCTTTTCTAATGGCTGATGTGTATGTTTAATCATTCACTCTGGTTTTGTTTTTCTTTTAAACTTAAGCAGCTTTTACTTATGGGACTTTATATTTAAATGGGGAGGGCCTTTCATTTTGTGGTAACTTTTTTGTTTATAGAATTCAATGGATTGTTTTGTATAAAATATCTTTCTAATTTTCATACAGATTACCAAAGCTTTACCTGTGTGAATTCTGTCTTAAATACATGAAAAGTAAAAACATTTTATTAAGGCATTCAAAGAAATGTGGCTGGTTTCATCCTCCAGCCAATGAAATCTACAGAAGAAATGACCTTTCAGTATTCGAGGTAGGTATATCAAAATTTCTGAAAGTAACTGGTTTGTAGACATTACAGATCAGTTGTAGAACTAGAGAAAACTTCAACATACTTAAATACTTTCTTGGAGGAGATTCTTATACTGCATAAACAAGTCCATCTTCCCTGTCCTGTTCAACCCTGCACGTTCTCTCATTTCTTTCTTTGTTTACTTGTACTTCCTGCATTATCCAGCCTCTTAAGATACTTGTATTGCATGCATCTTAGATGGAGACTACAGTGGAAGCTCTTTGACTGGATTGCCTTTCCTTTCTCAGCAAAAATACCTCTTGCACCTATTAATTTCTGGCAATTTGAGTATCTTTCG